TGGGCCCTTGATGGTTCAAATGTTCCGTACTCAAGTGAACAAGATATCTTTTATACGTACTAGTAAGAGTATGGACCTCTTGTTCTGCTACCGTTTCATGGATTTCAAAATCATATGTTTTGTTGTGATCGTTCAAATGATCAGTTCGGCAATCGACAACGAATTGATTCAATAACATAAAAAATAATGAAATAAATGAGCACTTATACACAACTTAGTCAATGCCTTGATGGATGATCACTAACCACGTTCTGACTTGAAACTTCGTCACTGAACAAGAGGTCTATTAATACCACCAGAATTTGGACTTTTGTGCTGATTCGCCAAATCTATCGATTCCTTGTACTGACGTTTGTATGTACAAATCTGCAATATCACACTAATTTCAGTGACACACTAATTCGATGTTGATTTTGAATTGCACTGTAAGAATACAGGGAGGAGAACCGTACATACCACATATCAAGCATGATATCATACATATAGTCGTCGTCGTCATTAAGATGTCTTAGGTACTGGTAGAGCCTGTTCCAAATAGAATTTATATTAATAGATCGATTTACCAAGTTCCAGACCCCGTCGAATCCCAAATCGAATCACGAATCGACGGGGTCTGGAACTAATTCTATACTTCGAAGTATGCATTTGCGGTATATATCCAAAATTGAAATGTCAAGATATTTCAATTTGTTGGCCTTGAACATCTTGAACATCCAAAACGGCTGTACCTGGAGTTCAAATTTTGGAAGTTTATACAGAATTTACAATAGTAACTATTTTGCGCGATTTCACGACCTTCGATCGTCATGCAGGGATTGCGAGTTGACCTGCCGCCGCCGCGCGATCAAGTTTTCTGTAAACACATCCACGAGTGCCGACTGGTCACCCAAGAACGTGTCCACGTCGTCCATGTTCACTCGTCCATGCAGGTTCCGAAAGGGCCGGTACATGTGAAACAAGGCGGTGATGCGAGCAACGAGCGCGTCTTCGTCGTCCGTGGAGCCACAAAACGAGCAAAGCACGCGCTGGACGTGGTACACATACACGGCAGAGGCGTTGGCATACATGCCGATCAGCTCCATCACGACGTCCTTCATGCTGCTGGCGCGAGTGTTGGCGTTGGACATGCGCAGTGCCTTGAGCGTGGATATCACGTCGCGCATGTCCAGGTGGTCCGTGTGAGTCGGGTCGAACGACGAGTACATGAGATTGAAGTTTGCGACTCCGAAGGCTGGATACTCCTTTGCAAACAAGTCTCGGCCTGCATGAGACAAGCACACCATGAGTCTCATTGGGAACTCAAATCCAGGGTTATGTACTAGTACATTGATCCCGCGTCAGTTCATATGGATTTGACCGCTGGTGTCTTGTGCCGTGGTCGGCTATTCTTTCCAAGAGAAGGGCTAATTCTTGCAGCAGCGGGCGGTTAAACACACTTCGTCGCATAGCGTCGACTAGCAAGAACATCTACGCAGCATGCACTCGAATTGAACGTTTATGCACGGATACATATATGCAAGGGCGTGGACTACGGGATATTGTTTTACAGTATGATACATAACCCACCGTTTTCCACCGCAATTCGTACTTGCACTGCATTAACTTCGTGGAAATCGCCGCCACTCGAGGGGGCCCCGTAGTTGGAACCAACGTCCAGTCCTTCATGGCTTTTGCTGGCACTTTGGCATGGTGTTGGCTGAGCTTGATGCGTTGCTGCTGCTCCTCCATCACGTCGTCGAGGATTTCGCGGCTCGCGGCGCACTTGGTTCGCTCCACGGCTTGCTCTACCTCCCACGTTGATGAGTAGTTGCTCACGTCGTCGTTACTCGTCGTACCTTGCAGCAACGACGCGTGGAGCTGCCGCAGCTCGGCCCTAGTTTTCGCATTCACGTGCAAAGCGTGGTCGTCGGCTGGTCGCAATGGCACCTTTGTTTTCGATGTCGATTGCAAGTGTGGCTGCCGCGTGTTGTGAAACGCCAGCGGCGCGCCATACACAAACGCAGCCTCTTCCGACCACATCGTGGGACTCCCGTTTAACGTCGGACTCCACGTATCTGGGTGTTGAAACCTCGCCAGGTCTTGTAATCCTGCACCCAACGACGTCGTTGGGTGCAGCTTCGTACGGTGTAGCGCTGGCACGGTGCCGGCCACAGTGGCGGCCGCCGTCAGCTGCACTGCGCCCCGAGCTCCATACCTACACCCGTCAGGCCACACAAGTCGGCCGCACTTCATTGGCCTCCTCTTCAACAACCAACACAACGAAATCATAGGAATCGCACCGTTTGGTCTTCGCTTGCAGAGTACATGCTGGCCCCGTGGCCACATTGTTGTGGCCCATATACCACGGTTGTTTCTGCAGTTGATCCAGCTTGGACGTGCTTTGCGACGCCCTGATGGGCGAATACACGGGGGCGTCGGTGCCCCCATTTTGGTGGATTGTTGAAGGGGGGGTCACTGCAAGGGCGATGGCGGTGGGCGGGAGCGCCGCGCGTTCGCGGCTGTACTTCTGGCGGGAGATGGCAGATTGCCGCCCCCGAGACACGGGCGACGGTAGCAACTGCACGCGCGACTTAAGAAACCGGTCGTCCAGGGCGACGTGGTACAGCTGCGATAGTCGCTTCGTTTCCTCCATCTTCTCATCGTTGTCGGCGCCGCCGTCGGGATTCTCGATTGACGCCCGGCAAAAGTCGTCCAAGATGCTGTCGATGCGCTCGTTCACGGTCTGCCGAGATCCAGGGGTCGTCATTGTCGTCGTTGCGGCCATGATGTACATTCCATTGGCGGTTTCAAGTTCGGTTACTGGACCGATGAAACGATGCAAAACCGGCACAGAACTGGAAAGTGCAAACATGTCAGCCGCGTCCGTACATTCATTATGAAAACATGCTTGATGCTGCAAGCTATACTCCCGTGAAACTGACTACACTACAGTACATCGCGACAACACGACTTGTAACCGCCTGTGCTCAGTACCAAAGCCAATATGCAGCCACAACCTTGTTGAAGGGGGCAGTGCTCCTGTGTACAGCCATAACCTTGTTATCCAGCATAGAGTCGATTACATTGTACAGTACTAGTCGAAGCTTACTATCTATTGACCACTACATCCTAAATGTTGTCAGTAACTTACACACAAGCCAAATCCCCAATGGAGGAGTTCCTCAAAATAAGTTGTCAATTGCGTACAGTAAGTCGCAATGAATGCCAGCGACTGTATTGACTACGAGTCCCCCACTTTATTGTTAACATAACTACAGAAAACCCCAATGCGAAAAATTATATTAACGTTATATATTTACAGTTAAAGGGAACTGAAAATTCGAAACAGTAAATAACGCTCACAGTCAAGAACAATATTTAATTGTTGCCACTGATATTATTAATATCATACTACGAAGTATTAAGACTTCGTAGTACTACTATTATAATAATAGTAAGTTACTTACTGTACTATTAATAGTACTGAAGTACTACCGTAGTACTTACTGTACACGGTTAAATATTGGCAATAATATCATATCCAAAATAGAGATCACTGTCATATAATAATGGAGTGTTTACATAATTCTTTGCGATATTGTCCTTTTATCCAAAATTTGGACTTTTGTTCTGAATCGACAAATCTATCGATCGATTCTTTGTACTGTACTGAGTTTTGTATATAAAAAGGTGTCCTGTGGTGATTGGTACTACACTAATTGAATCACACACTAATTTAACGTTGATGAGGGTTTCCTGCAATCTGATTGGCTAAAATATCCTTCAGCCGATGATTCTTGTGTACATTAATTTGGTTGTGTCGATTCATTCTCCATGTCGCTCCAGTTTGGAATAAACACAACAATATATATATCGCAATATACATATATTATTTCATGACTACTACAGGTAGTGCAATTTGGCGCTCGCTTTATAAACGCTACCACGTCTCGACCCATGGCCGCACATCCAATTCGTGGGTCCACGCCGTCTTGGGCTGATGGTGCACTTGCACGTACAGTGCGGCAATGTCCTGAGGCCGAACCAAACCTACAAGCTGCCACGTCATAGCTGCCACCACAAACTGCCACGTCAGCCATCGATTGACCAACCCTGTTGCACCAGCTTGGCTTTGGCCTCGGGAAAGTTCTCGTGGATCCAAGGGGTGTCGATGGCGCCGTCCACAATCAGATGCGCTACGTGGAGGCCTCTGGGACCGAGTTCCCGCGCCATGCTCTGGCTCAACGCGCGCAAGCCAAACTTAGCGCTGGCAAACGCGGCAAACCCCGCGCTTCCGCGGACACTCGCCGTCGCTCCTATGCAAGCCCACGTCGAGGGAATGATGATGTAGATGGAGTGATTATGGACGCGAATGACCTGTAAACAGGATGGTGCCGCGTCCGCGAGGAAGCATGCGGCTGGCGACTTCCTTGCCCATGAGGAAGCCCGAAAAGCACGCCATTTCCCACACTTTTCGATACACCCGAGCCGTTGTGTCTACGGAGAGAATGCATGAAGGTAATATATTTTGTACGGGTGATGGGGGACGTCGTCGTACGAACCCGTGATGGAAAAGCGAACGTTCGCGCCAACGTTGAACACGGCGACGTCGATGGGTCCAAGCCGGCGCTCAATGTCCTCCACGAGATTCTGTACATTGGATTCATCACGACAGTCAACGCCAAAGCCTTCTGCGTCGTGTCCCGCCTTACGGATGGACTCGACGAGCTCCTGCACCTTGACGCCGTCTCGACGCACACAACACACCAGGAAGCCGTCGACGGCAAATGCCCGAGCGATCGCTGCGCCAGTACTATCCCCTGCGCCAACTATCAGCGCGCACTTCTTGGAAGTGAAGTAGCGTTGCATCGTGTAGTTCCATGGAAGATGTCTGCGAGACGTTGATCGCAACGTGCGCGCTGCCATCATGATGTCTGCGTCAGATCTTTGGAGTTTTTGATGAAATCAAAAATGCATGAAAACAGGCGAATATTTTACAAATACTCGAAAACAATCCGTTGTATTCATTATTGGAGGTTATAGATGAGGAAATAAACTCCAAAATGATATATCTATCCAGATGTTTAATTGGCTTAAATCAAAACTATTTTATCCAATCACGGACACCCGCGCAGTTGGGTGGCGTGCCCAAGCATAAGACGAATTTCAAGGGGATATCATCATGGACGTCGAGAAGAAAGTGATTGTGCAGGACGAAGAGATCGAAGACGACGAGGAGGAAGACGAAGTCGTGGAAGGCTCTGCCGCCGCGGAAGGCGGTGACGCCGCTGCCAAGAAGAAGAACAAGAAGAAGAACAAGAAAAAGAAGAAGAAGGCTGCCACAACCGCTGCTGGCCCTGGGACCAAATTGCCGCCGTTCCGCGGCGTGACGGGGTTTACGGACAGCTACATCCAGTACGGTCAAACGGAACCCCCGACGATTCCCGTGGCCAAGTTGTTCGCAGTGGGCTCATTCCCCAAAGGCGAGGAGCAGAACCACCCGGGCGACTTCAACACGTACCGCATCACGAGCGAAGAATTGCGCGCCGCCGAGCGGGTACGGCATTCATGCAGAATGTCCATGTATCATCTAATCGCGTGTGGGGATGCATGTACAGGAGAACGAAGCGTTCTACGACCGCGTGCGGTATGCGTCCGAAGTCCATCGCCAAGTGCGCAAGTTTGCGCAAGGACTGATCAAGCCCGGCATTCGCCTCATTGACCTGTGCGAAGCGCTCGAGAACAAGAACCGCGAGTTGGTCGAAGAAGCAGGGTTTGCCGTACGTTTCTATCGCGCTTTTTTTGTAATTCGAGTCGAATTTTCTGATTGGTTCGTTTTCATTTCCATGTTTATTTTGATTGGTGCAACATCATATTGCAAATCCATTCATTTACATGGATTTTTTTCATTTATTTCCACTCAACCTAACTTAGATTGACGAAACGTTTCATTTATTTTGTTTCATTTATTTCCGATTCGTGCCTTGTTTAATATGGGTATTCTATTTATAGCGTGGGATTGGGTTTCCCACGGGTTGTTCGTTGAACCACGTCGCAGCTCATTACACGCCGAACGCCGGGGACCACACCGTGTTGACGTACAATGACGTGATGAAAATCGATTTCGGCACCCAAGTCGACGGTACCAACTTATATATATATATATATATATATATTTATGAGATGCATGTGGTTGGGTTGTTTTGATAGGTCGCATCATCGATTCGGCGTTTACGGTCGCGTTCGATCCGCAGTTTGATCCGCTTCTGGCAGCATCCAAAGCAGCCACGAACGAAGGTGTGCGACAGAGTGGCATAGATGCGCGGCTGGGCGAAATCGGCGCTGCCATCCAAGAAGTGATGGAATCATATGAAGTTACAATCAACGGCAAGGTGTACCCTGGTAAGACATGCAGATTCCTGATAATATATATATATATATATATATAAATGTCCATCCATATATTGTGCTTTCGAGTGAAATTTCATTGTGTTGTGGCGTGGTTTCTCGTTGGAATTTAAAGCGATTTGATTGGCTACTTCAGATGAGCTTAGAATTAATAGCCAATCAAAGCCCTCTCAATGAAATTCAACCAATCAGATCGATTGTGGATCGGTTTGGCCGGCGCGATTCGATTGCACCCCTTCCCCAAATTTGTATCAAATCGACAATATATGCCATGATATGGATCCATTGTTGCTTGTACTATATTATTTTGCCCAATCGAATTCAAGTAGTGAGAAAATGTCTTGATAAATCTATATTATTTATTTGCACAATGAATTTTTCTCCAGAGTACTTTTCGAGGTATATATATATATATATATTATATGCATTCACGTTGGAGATTTGTCACATGATCAACGACACAATATATGATGATGATATAACCCTCATTTTCGACGGAATGTTTGTCGTGTTTGAAAGCTAGTGTTGGTGCTGCCTTTGTGTTTATAATTTTAATATGTTTTCATTATTATAAGCTTCTTTATACATACTATATATACTACGGATTTGTATTCAACACTGGACTGACTGTGGTCGAGTATAGTGCAATGTATCCGCAACTTGAACGGCCACTCGATTGGGCCGTACCAAATTCACGCTGGGAAGAGCGTGCCCATCGTCGCCACCCCCGAGCAAACCAAGATGGAGGAGGGCGAAATCTTTGCCATTGAAACGTTTAATACCACTGGCCGCGGGTAATATATATATATATATTTCCAATGTGGCCAGTGCCTCATGATTATAATATATATAAATATGTACAGATATGTGGTGGAAGACATGGAATGCTCGCATTACGCCAAGGCGTTCGATGCGCCTCATGTGCCGCTCCGCCTACCTCGCGCCAAGAAACTTCTGTCGCATATCCAGCGGACTTTTGGAACTTTGCCATTTTGCCGGCGCTGGCTCGAGCGCGAAGACGGCGGGTCGAGTTTTATCAACCCCAAGGGCGCCAAGCAGGAAAAGTACATTATGGGACTTAAAAATTTGGTCGATAATGGCATCGTGACGGTATGTAAACTATAAAACTAGTTCTTGGATTTATGGTGGTGATGGTTTTATGTAGGCGTACCCGCCGCTATGTGACATCAAGGGCAGCTACACGTCCCAGTATGAGCACACTCTGATTTTGCGGTACGAATACATACATATATATGATATATATGCCGAGTTGGGATGTTGTATGTGACGTGGTGGTGTGAATATATGTGACAGTGTTCATGTTGTTTTGGTTACATTGTGTAGACCCACGTGCAAGGAAGTCTTATCCCGCGGCGACGACTATTGATCGGTTGGACAAGAGTATTGGTTGAAGCAGCAGGATATAAAGATTTATATGCAGATACTCTCTCATGTGCCACGTGGCTAGCAATCCGACCTACTACTAGTATATACTACGTACTACGTTAGTAGTATAACGTTAAGCTACGCTTGGATGGATTTATGTGACACTGTACACCTTGTAACACTTCAAACATGGCATCCCAGGAGGTTAGATGTGGTTGGAGAGCGAATCAACCAATCCGGATGATACCCAATCACACACCCTTGCAATATCAATTCCCGAGATGGGGGAACTGTGTCTCACACGAATTCTCATGGAGTACGTAACTGAACGTTAAGTAAGCGAGCTCGCTACGGTAAACTACTACGTAATATACTAGTAATACATAGTACTACTAACGTTAGTACTATTATTTATATGTCGACTGTGGCTACAGTACACGTGGCGCTCCGTCGTCGCTTGACATTCATTTATAGAGGTCCTGTGGGAACGTATATCGTCTCTGATTGGTGGAAGTTGTGACTGGTTGCTAAACAAGGCAAACATCTCACGATGAAAGTACATTCGATCAGATTTGAAATAGCCGCCCAGGACCAGAGGACATGGTGTAGCAAGCAGCCCGATGATGTTTCAATCTCTAGAATTACTCTGAATCACATTGAGGTCAACGTATCCGAAGTTGAGGGCTTTGATCATGCGTTTGTTGTAGTAATAGTAGACAGTCATCGGTCGAAAATGATAGACCTTAGCTTTTCTTTGGAAGTGCCGTCTGAACATGTTGAACATTTTGACGATACCAAAGCGCTCTGATCCACTGATGACTGTCCTGTATATAAGTGTAAGAGTAGCAACTCAATATCCAAGTACGAGCGTAGTATATAGCCATAAGCTCGGCTTGTAACCTGGTTGAATCGAGATGCAATGTACTCGGAGAGCAAAGCAACAGGTCGACTTCACATATTCACACTCTGAGTCAGTTCCAAGCTAGCTAGCTAGCTCCCTGTCGCAGTTGTGGCTTAGCGTGTCTACCGATCCTGATGATTGATTGCCTATACATTTATCCCCTTCAGCTCGATCGACTTAACATTCACACTCTGAGTCAGTGGGAAGCTAGCTAGCTCCCTGTCGCAGGTGGCATGTCGTAGTGTAGCCGTAACGCTCTGCTCGTAAGCTAGTTGAATCGAGATGCGGAGAGCAAAGCAACAGGTCGACTTCACATATTCACACTCGAAGTCAGTTCCAAGCTACAGTAGCTACCGTAGCTAGCTCCCTGTCGCAGTTGTGGCTTAGCGTGTCTACCGATCCTGAGGATTAATTGCCTATACATACATCCCGTTCATCTCGTTCATCATACTATACCCTACTTTACCATCCAAATTAAACGGTCACACTGGACGCCTCCACATATTACAGTACTATTACATGCCTACACGACGTTCCTTCGTAACGTTATGTACTTAGTCTTATTGGGGGGGTGTCGTCGATGTGACCAACTGGGCCGCCAGTTGGGTTTCCAAAGCCTGCTTTTGGCGGATGGCTTGGGCATATTTGAATTTCAAGTCTTCGATTTCATCGAAAAAATCCAAGTCGAACGCCGACAGTTCGGCTGTTAACCGCGCGTTCTCTTGCCGCAATTGGCGCACGACGGCATCCTGATGCGTCACATGCTCTTGGTCGTCGTCGGCTTCTTTGGCCCGACTGAGTATGATCAAGTCGTGGATCTGCTTGTCTTTATCCTGCAGTTGGACACTGTGGAGGTGCTCCATATCAGCCACAAACGTCGCATGGGTGTCCTTGCAGGCCTTGTACTTGGCGCCCAACGCGCGAAACTTTCGCGCCAAATCCGAGTGCTCGATGCGAAGTTGCTGTAATTCGGCCTTGGTGGCGTCCACAATCGCAGCAAGTTGCTGCAGCTCCTTGTTATTTGCTGCGGCTTTTACCGGTGCCTTGATCGACTTGATTTTTCGTAGCCGGTCGTTCTCGCTGCGCAGGTTTTCCATCACGCGCTTCATGTTGGCAATCACATCTTCGAGCGCTGCCACGGTTGTACTACTCTTTCGATCGGCCTGGAGTTAGTAGTTAGTAACGAATATACAACGAACGAAGTGGAACCGCCGCGAATTGGTTGTTCATTTCGCGAAAAAGTATGATGAGGTCCTGAAATTAACCGAAAAAAGGTGTAGTAGTTAGTAGATCATTCAAAATGGTTCAATACAACAAACAACTGGTACATATTCCAAAGCAAGATTAGACAGAATCGAGCATGTAGTAAAGTAATACTAGTAGTACAGAGATATTACCGTATTTGTGGTTGAACTGCCCCATGCAATAGAAACACGGGGATATAATTATATATATATATATATATATATATATTCAAATCCAAGAACGGTTTGCGATACCCATGGAACTGGAATTTATTTTTGCAAAACTTGGTCCAATCCAAAGTTGAACAATTTAATATGTAAATAAAAAATTGTTCAAATTTCATTACATCGTGCTAAGGTACGACAGATACGGTAGAATTACATTTACGTACTTTGACTATACGTGACTAAAATGAATACTCATGCCGAAATGATATATATATTTGTCTAGATATATCGATAAATATACCTGGGAAGGAGTGGACGAGGAGGGGGTAGTAGTAGCGATTACACCAGTTTGACGAGTGCGTTGGAGTTGGATCTGCAGACTTTCCACTTGAAACGACAGCTCCAGCACGGTCGTTTCTCGCTGCAGCCGTTCTTCCACCGACCTAACAACAACAATATATATATATATATATATATATATATATCATCAACAAATAGATTCTATTTGGATCTTTCAAACAACACCAACGAATCAATATCAAGCTACACACAAGGACGATATATGTATCCAAACCCCATCAATAACACAGAATATATATATATATATATATATATGATCGAGAGTCCATCATCTCGTACGGAGTCATTTCAATTTGACGGAGTGCCGAGTCTCGGGCGTCCAACACGAGTTGCTGCAACTCGACGATGCGACGGTAGCAATTGTCGAGCTCCAGCGCCACGTTCTCGCGCATCGCCACGCGTTCATGGGGTAAAGGTGGCGTCGGTGGACTCTTTTTCTATTATAATAATTATATCAAATTATACCAAGTTGTTACAATGGTAGTAGTATATACATATATATCCCAATCACTTGGTTACCATTTGAGCAGCCAGTTGCTCTTGTGTTTTGGCCAGTTGCTCCGAAATGCGCTGGCATTGATTGGTCAAATTGTCCACTTGGGCAGACTTTTCCTCGAGTTTACTCGCCAACACATCTATCCGACGCTTGAGTTTCTTTTCCTGTTCCCACGCCGCGCGCCGTTTCTACATATCATTCCTTCAACCTCTCTCTCTCTATATATATACATAGATACTATATATATCTACGTTCTAAATAGGTCTGATATATATATACATAAATCCTATACATATCTACGTTCCAAATAGGTCTGATATATCTATATACCTCGAAGTATATGTATATATATGCCATTCATTCCAATAAGATATAATACATATAAATCTATGCCATTCATTCTAAATAGGTTTTATATACATATATATATATACCATTCATTCCAAATAGAAATAATATACAAATATATAATATCTACACGTCATCCATTCCAAATCGATGATATAACCTATATACGTACGTACATATATATCAACGCGATTCATTCCAAGTATATATATATATATATATAAATAATAAACATACATCGGCCTTGTCTTCGTCGGGTTGGTTTGTCGGTGGTTGTGCTTCTTGCTGCTTAGCTATTTGGTCGAGAAGTGCTGCATTTTTCACCTCAAGTGCCTTGACGCGAGTCTGCAGCATTTCCATATCACGTTCCTACAGCCATGTATAATCAATCTATCCACTCTATCTGAATATTACGACAATCCATATCTAATATATAAAAGAGATAAAATAAACAACTAATAGGATGGTACGTGTATACCTGGGAAGCGTACGTCCCCAGCTTAGCTTTACATCGATCAAGTTGGTCTCGTAATTCCGCTGCTTTGAGCAGCTGGCCTGGCAACTGGTCTCTCGAATTTAGCGCCGCCTTGGACTTGGCAACCAACGCCATCGCGCGCTTATACTTTTGGTTCACGTCTTGGATTTCGCAAGTCAGACCGTCCACCTTTTCTTGTAGCATCGTGATTGTGGCCTACGACGTAATATAGTGTTTGTTCGATCATGCATGATATAGTGTGATATTTCTTGTCAACTGGGGGAGCGCGAGACAACTATACAAATGTATACACAGGAATCTCGGCACAAGGATTGTTGAGCAATCAATCAGATTGATCGAAACCATCAGCAGCAACATAACGAATTAGTGTGTGTGACTTCAATTCGAGTGACTTCAATTAGTGTGAGATGCAAACACAGGACAGGACCACGTTTTACATACAAAATACAGTACAACGGATCTCGATCGCAATAGATATGGCGAATCAGCCCAAACGTTGATTACATTTTGGGTCAAACGATCATTCGTCTATTTCTGTTATAATATATATATATATATATATTTGTACCGTAAAGTGGGCGTTCTTGTCCGTGAGGTCGTCGATGCGGTCGTGTTGCTGACTGGTTTGCTTTCGCTTCTCTCGTACGCTGTCTTCCGCTTGTTGCTCCTGAGCCTTAAGGAATTCCTCCTTGAGCTTGATAATCGCATCTCTCAGCAGCGCCATCTTCTTATCCTTTGCGAGTAAATCCGCCTTCCACTGACTCGTCTGCCGCTGGTGGCCCTTCTCAAACGCCTCCACGTCACACACGAGGCTGTGGTTGACTTTTTGCAGTGTCGCAATTTCTTCCAAGGCTTCGCCACACCGCGTCTCAGCTAATTGTTTGCCCTCGCGGAGTTGTTCCACCTAATATATATATATTGAGCACCAAAGTGGTAACAGAACCTTCACATGGCCTCGACGTACACCGAAAGAACGATATATATATATATATATACTACTAGTAAACTCCAAATTCAATTGGGAGTATCAAGCTAGCAACATGTGATTGGTGTGCGGGACTACTATTAGTGGGCATCAAATCGTACACCAAAAGGCGCGACTCGAAATAATCAAGGCAGCATCTCATATACAGTACGTCCACACATACTATTGGCTGAAATTTCATTATGTATAATAGAAACTATCATACTTGTTTTAGAACATTTTATATAGAAAATTAGCTTTATAGTAAATATATATATGCTAGTATGTATTTATACTATAAAACTAAAGTATATATATATATACTAGTATGTACTTATACTATAAAACTAATTTACTACATAATATATATATAATATACATATATATATTACCTTGGCTTGCAATTCCGTGATCAGCTGACCTTTGACTTGGACGTCCATGTGTACTTGCTTGAGTTGATCCATCAGTCCTTGGTGCATCTCACGCGCCGCCACCACAGCCTGGCCTCCTCCCTAGATAAAATATTGTATATATATATTCTTTGTAAGACATATATATATCGTACTTGAGCTTCTAGGTGCTGAATCTTGTCCAGGGCGTCCTTGAGCTGGCCAATATACGCGTGGTTATCTTGATAAAGCCGCTTGTTCCGCCGCTCCTGGTCGTCGTGTGCCGCCTGCTGCTTGGCGTCGAAGTCCGCGCGCGCGAGTTCCAACTGCCGTCGGAGCTCATCGATGCGGACGTTCTTGTCTTGGACGAGGGCTTTCAAGCTGGCGATCGTGGCTTGCGCAGCTTCTTGGAGCGCCACATGGTCTTTTTCGTAATATCTAGTATATATTGTCGATATATTGTTCGAAATTGGACGGGTCCATCGAATGAGCTGCACACATATATGAATCAAGGAGCCAATCAATTTCACCCTTCGACCAATTCAACATCGAAATAGTGTGTGAATGCAATTAGTGTGACACTGGATGATTTTTACATACAAAAGTTAGTACAAAGAATCGATTGATAGAGTTGAATCAACACAAAAATCGTCCAAATCGTTGGGTAAACGACAGACAATATATATATATATATATATGTCCAACCTCTGCAGTTAGATACTACTGACGGTATACACACCACATCACACATCCAAACGACTAACGGATCAAACACTTTTGGGCCTTGTTGTATATCAAACACAGAGCTATCATCCATCCTGGTTTACATGTTCATAAAGTATCTTTTGTTTTTTCAGTTCAATCCATATCTTTCAAAGGAACATTTATATATATATATATTTCTTTGAAAGAAATGGATTGTCGAGTGGTGGTTGTGCAGATGCGTGTCGGCCTTCGAAATTAGGAATATAGATGCATATATATATTCATTTGAAAAGCATTGATTGAACTGCAAGCCTTATTTATTTAAACATATTCGTTTGAAATATATTGATTGAACTGCAAACCTTATACATATATATATTCATTTGAATAACTGATATATAGAAATATCAGTTCAATCATACATATACGTAATATATATATATATATATATATATATATATATATATATATATATCAGTCCAATCATACAGTATATATATATAGATACGTACCCGACTTTGTTGCGCATGGACGGGGAGCTCGGCTGGCGTGTCAACGTAGTGTTGGGGTCACTACTAGTAGTATTACTAGGAGGTGGATAGTACTTTGCTGGGTTCAGCTGCGACTCCAAGACAAGGTTGTCCACTTGCATGGCTAAATCGCGTATCTTGGCGTCCTTGTCGTTGCATTCTGTCAATAATTTGGAGCATTTGGCCTTGAGAGCGTCCATTTCAAACAGGGTTTGGTCCAATTTAGATTGGAGAGCGGCGTTGTCCTGCCGCCACTTTGCCTTTTGTTGCGTACTCGAGTCCTTGGATCGGTTGGTTTGGGCTAATTGGTCTATCTGTTCCATCCACATCCTAGCAAAACGATGGATTAGAAGATATATATATAAATACTAGGGTGTAAATTCATCATTTCGTCGATTTGTAGATATTTTATTATATATCAACCGCGGATATAAAAAAACCATAACTAAGACCAAATACAAATATATATATAAATATATCTACACAACATACAAAACTGTAATCGTGGTGGTTTTATCTGGCCACATTGGATTCTAGATTCGATTCAAATGTGGGCCACCAACTTGAACGACAAACTCCGAAACAGTTGTTCCTGCGAGGAAAAATATTTATATTATAGACACGGAATAGTATAGACAAACCAACGTTTCCAACTATTTTTAACGTTCGGTGGGAAGATCTGATTGGTGGAATATAGTTTTCTTTCTGTAAGAGCCAATCAGATTCACTCAAAATTGGGTTAGCCAATAGCGTCGATTCGTGATTCGATTCGGCGACGAGATATTCAATTGGACGGGTCTGGAAAATTTGTATCGAATCCACAATATATATATATATATATATATATATATATATATATTTACGGAGAGTACCGTTCTTTTTGCTCGAGAATGGCAATGCGATGCTTATAGCGTTGTACTTCGTGCAAGTCTGGACCTGTCGATGGTGTCGACACACCCGCCTCCAGTTCCTCCACGCGTCGCTCCAACGCTCGTTTCTTGGCATGCAATTGCACGGCATCATCTTCCAACGCTTCAATCCGTCTAAATTCAAACATATATATATATATTAATATATATATTATCATGAATATATATCCTCCAATCCCTAAGATATATATATACATCAACGTACGTGGCCATGGCTTCCAGGCGCTTGAGTTTACCTCGTAAATCTGACTGCTTGAGCGTAGCGATGGTGGACTCCAACACTCGGTTGGTCTGCCGTTCCTTTTCTAGCTCCGACGCCAAGTGCTGGCTCGTGGCGTCCATTTGGAGGGTGAGTGTGTTAACTTGAAGCTGGGCCGCGCGCTGCAATTCCATGGCCTTTTCGTATCTAAAAGACAAAAATCAAACAAAGCAGTGGTGGTAACAAGTAACCAGGAAATATCGTAGGATTAGTATCTCAATATATAATCTAGTAGTATTCCAACCAACTTGGACGCCATCAAAGGAGTATCGTGTAGTTCCAACCATCGGTAGACATTATATCATCGCTATATATAATCAAAACCCACACAACACGAATCAAGGTAACCAATCCAACACGACTCGTTTCAACCGTCAATGTCGAATTAGTGTGTGTATGTATGTGTTTCTTGAATTAGTGTGATACTAAACATCCTTTACGCCTTGAATTAGTGTGATACTATAAGGACAATCAGACTGGTTCAACTAATTTATACGTAAGTAGTTTAAAGCTATCATTCAGTCGTTATTTATGTTGGCCCATGCATAACGTGCAAGGGAATTCGGATTAAAATGAGATGGATATATTGGGCATTTCACCCAAATTTGGACTACTTGTGAGTCATTTCGCCAAATAGCGTTCGAATCCAGTTGATCCAATTTAAACAACTTGTACACAGAATACTCTACAGATATTAGTATAAAGATTAGTATATATATATTCTCGATTTGATACAAATTTGAGGAGGGGGTGCAAGCGAATCGCGCCAACCAAACCCACCCACAATCGATCTGATTGGTTGAATTTCATTGAGAATGTTTGATTGGCTAATAATTTTGAGCTCATCTCAAGTAGCCAATCAAATCGATTTAAATTCCAACGAGAAACCAAGCCACAACACGAAATTTCACTCGAAAGCACAATATATGATTTTGCCCAATGCGGATAGACTCGGCCGAGTCAAACGTTTGGATTGGCAGAAACTCAACAGAACGTGATTTGATTGGCTTAGGCGGTTCTTTATCCCTTTAGACATTTGCTGAGGGCTCCAGTTTCGAATCATCGATTTGACAATATATATATATAACCACGAGGATGATGCGTATAACATACAGATTGTACTAGTACACCATTCAGAACAAACAACACCGATCGAAATTCAACCTGGCCGTTCCCCACAAGTCCCCAGCTATTTTGCTCAAACTCCAAAATATATCACACATTACATTACTTTCCACTGTCCATCGAGTGAGTAAACACACATATATGAAACAAGCGATGGTTCTACGACGACTGTGACAAGGTACCGATCTGTGAACGAGTGGTAGTTAGCTTGAATAGTCATGAGTTTCTGCTGCAACTGGCCGATAATGGCGTCGTCATCGGATCGACTGGCGAGCTCTCGAAGTCGCTCCTCCAGCGTCGCCACTTCATCGCGGCGGCGGGATTGCCGCGCGGCCAGCGTGTTAGCCTGGGATGCCGCCAGTGCCGCAATTGCCTTGTGTTTGTCCACCTACATAAAATTTGAATTATTTCAAAAAAAAATTAAGAAATCAATGTCATAATAAGTCAATTACAACATGTTTAGCCAAATCTGGGGGCTTTTTGAAATCCATCGCGATATCGCAACAGCACATATAGGTCACACCACCACGCGCTATATATATATATATATCAAAACGCAATATTCAATATACAAAGTCGACAGCTGGATATATAAAAAGATATATATTGTTGGGTTTCGTCTAAACTGGTGCGATATGGAGATTGCATCGACACACAACCAAAATGTACAGAAGAATCGGCAGTAGGGTTTAGCAAAATCAGATTGCAGTACACCATCGAAATAGTGTGAAACCTCAATTCGAGTGATTACAATCGCCGCAGGAAAACGTTTTACTTTTTCGTTCAAATTGACCAATTTTGTGGGATGGTTGATATCACCAAGAAATCGAGCAAAGCAATATGATTGGATAAAAATAATACAAGATTCAATTTGATTGGCTAAAACGAATGAATACCTCTGAAGCTTATAAATAGACTAGTATCACATTTCGCAGGTCCGGCGACCACCCGCGGGAGGAAATTTTGACAAGAGAACACACCCAATACAAACTTCAGTACAAACAAACAATCAATCGATCGATGGATTTATTTGGCAAATCAGCATCAAAGTCGAGACACATAAAATAATATTCAATCCACACATCCGACTGATACATAAATATAATCATCTTTGTCTACCTCTAGCTGCAACGCAGTGCAACATTGTTCGAGCTCTGCCACACGATGCTCGAGCACCTGTTGCAAATTGAGTGGTGCTGGTCGGTCAAGTGTTGGAATTTTCGATGACGTGGCAGGCGGCTGGGACAGCTCCTTGATTTGACCGAGATACATGGCTACGGTGGCTTCCAACTCGAGAATTCTCTTTTCGTGTTCAATAGATGACGTTGCCGACGACGTTGCTCCCAAAAGGGCGTTTTCATGCACTAACTTTGCGTTTTGCTCTTTCAGGTCCAGGGCCTGGACATACTCGGCATGCCGGGCGTTCCACCTGTCCAAGTGCGCGGCATACGTTTCCTGCAGCGTCGTATATGCGTCTTGAAGGTCGTCGAAATGAACTTTTAATATGCTTTCATGGAGGGCTTTCTGCATCGCGTGCATGCGCTGCGTGGCCCCTACCCTCACAAAGTACATGTGTGTGATGAGAATTCGGTTCATATCATGATATCACATATATGGTACTAGTTTTGTACCAATTTTCCACGCTTCGAGGTACTGCAGACGGGTTTTGAGCGTTCTTTCCACATCGAGTAGCTCGTCTTCGAGTGCAATACGCCGCGTATATTCCGTCTGTTTTTCGTCTAGAACGAGGTTGAACTGCCGTGCCAGACGCGCCTGGTTCACTTCGAACAGCGCCAGTTTACGAGTCATATCAGCTGCGTTCTGCTGCCACTCGGACTGCACTTGCATCGTGTGCCAACTCGTTTCGTAGCTACATGTATACGAATCGATCAGAAAATTGTATATATTATTATATATATATATGGACATGATATTATCGTATAGTTTGAAGTGTGTATACATATATACATGTATTTTTGTCGACTCTTAAGGTTCGACACCAAAGCTACGAATACGTACGTGGATGTGTTTTTGTCCCATGGAAACATATATATATATCGATGTCACATCCACGTTCAGACACGGATCAAGTAATATAATAGTACTCGTAGTGCAAATATACATGTCGAATATATTCGAAATTAGTCTCACGTAGATAAATGATACTAGTATACATATATCTCTTGCAAATGGGAAGAAAACTGTTATAATATATATATATTCTACATAGTATATATATATAGTTTTTTGATTGGGACTTCATACAGGACGTACCGATTCAATTTGATTGTTTGTTCGTCAATGATGGTTTGCGACGCTGCCAACTGCGTGTCCAGCTGGTGTTTGTGCGCTTTGAACGATTGTTGCTGGCCAATGTATTCCCTACAAACAAATATATATATAGAGTTTTCATTCAAAAAAAGTATTTTTCCAGCATCTATACTGCGATTCAACTCTTCCGATCAACATTTATATATATATATATATATACATCGAAACCGAGAGATGGAAGTGTACTACTACCTGTACAAGACCGCTTGTTGATCTTGGGCACTAGCGAGTGCGGCTTCGATGGTCGTGATTTTATCTGTCAACTGGTGGTTTTCAAAATACAGTGTCGCACATTCTTCCAGACACTGGTCGAGCTCTAGCCCCATTTGGAACTGACTTTCCAGTTCTTTCTGGGAGTCCAGCAGTACCACCGCCGCTTTCTTGGATGCATTCGACGGAGGTGATGCCAGTACTTCCCCCTTCGACTGGGACGAGACGTTAGGAGTAGCAATGGTTCTACATCTCAAAACATAGGTAAAGTGAGATCATGCAAAAGATAGATGGATATTGAGTTTGAATTAAAACAATTTTTTTTTAAGATACTCTTAGTATTTTTTTAACTTTTGTTTTATCTTTTTATAGGTTATTTAACTAAAGATATGTTTATTGAGTTTTATTTATAATTTATTCTAAAACCTGAAAAATAAAAAAGTTAAGCTTTTTCGCTAAGATTTGGATTTTGTAGCTAGCTGCTTTGAGAATCGATTGGGCGGCAGATTTGAAGCGCATTCCATGTATAGTATACTCATTTGATGTTCACTATGTCCAACTATACGATTCGATGATTGGATGAAATGTGTCTGGGTAGTGCAATTTGATTGGCTAAGAACATCATTCTCGAATCACAATACATTGAACAAATTCAGATTCGAATATGGAACATTGGACAATATATATATATCGGTTGGTGGGATTTGGATGGGATACAATATATAATTATTGTACATGAATAGAGCAAAATATAAGTATTGTACATGGGGGGGATCGCCGGGGAAGGAGAAAGTGCGGGCAGTTGGTCCAACTGAAGCCGGAGCCGTTCGATTTCGGCGGTGGCGGCGGTCAGTTGCGCGTCGAGGGGCTGCCACGAGTCTTTGTGCACGTAATTGGCTAAAAATGTGTCGATTTGCATCTGCTTTTGCTTGAGGTCGCGGCGGGCATTGGCGAGGATTTCCTTGTCCTGCACCCGCATGTCCTGCAAGATGGCTACCTTGGCTTCAAGATCGTGCACGAGTTCCATCGACGATCCGTGGGTCTATAGAAGAACATGAACGAACCATTCGGAATATAACAATGTTGCACAGAAACGGCATATATATATATATATATATATATACAGTATATATATGTGAACCTCAAAGTCGTGTACGCGTTGCTGCAACTCGCGCACGTGGCCGAGCAATGTCTGCCGCTCTTGGTCGAATGATGCCTTGAAGTCCACAATCATCTTGTCCACCGTGGCGTTGGTGGCATCCATGTCGAGCACCTTTTGCTCCAGGAAGCGCTTGTCCTAACGGTCGCCGCCGCCACCGCCACCATCAAGTAACGATGCTTTGATTGCTGCTTCATGATACAACATACCTCTTCCAGGCGCTGGATGCGTTGGGTCAACGCGGATGTCGTCGCGTCGGTCGTGGGTGATGATGGAGTCGAGCTAACCTGCAATTGCAACGACTCTAACGCCACTCTACATAGACGACTCGATGAGCGCGGGGGACGAAAGTACATGGACGCACGCACCGCATGTTCGCATGCTCCTTCTTCCACGTGTCGATCTCGAGCATGGCGTTGCGCAACTTGTGTTCCTTGAGTTGCAACTCGGTCGTGATGTCGTTGAATCGACGTTGGTCTGCGGCGTCGTGCGTGTCCTGCTCAAGGCGCTGCAGGGTCTCACTCAAAGCTTGCTCCCGTCGCAGTGCGTCGGCCCATTTGGCGCGAATGTCTTCCACTTCAGATGCATCCAGCACTGCAGCTACTTTGTCCTCGAGGCGCATATGCAGTTGCGCGTTTTGCGTCGACAAGAGGTCCACCTGACGATGCATGGACATTCGATCCTCTTCCCATTGGGCCTTCTCATGCAGGAGACCTTCATGCTGCTTCTTCAATGCCTCCATGTCGTTCAGCAGCGACACACATGCTGCTTCGGCACATGGCATCGGCTCGGATCGATCTGGCGCGGGATCTGTCCTTTCTAAGTACGACGGAAAAAAGGCGCTTTGCTCCTACTACTACGTAACGTTAGTAGTAATTCATCTGACACTAAAATGATGGTTTTTGGTCGAATCACTCATTTTACTGCCGTTTCAACGTAACTGAGCGCTACAACCCACTCGTAACCGCCATGCAATGCTTGTCGACTAAATGTAAAACGAGCGAGAAAGCGATCACGAGCGAGAAAGCGATCACGATCGCTTTACTGCCCTTCAAGCATGCACTAAAGTGATGTTTCCCACCAACCTAACTACTACCCTGTACAACTCGTACTAGTTAGTACTACTAGTCCACATGTCGAATGCATCCATGGTAAGTATACATGTGTTAGGTTGTCTATGGAACCGACGGCCAGATGCAAGTTCCAATATGAGAACTACTGTAATATATCTATTGATTGTATCACGTCCTCATGCGACGATCCCGACATGAGCCGCGACACTGCTGTGGCGCACGCTGCCTCTCGACGACAGACTTGACATCTTGCCTGCAAAGTACCCCGACGCAAACGAATTCGAGTAGGAAATTTCCCTCGTGCACAGGTAGTGGCCTCCCATCTTTGGCGTGGGCGGCATGTATCCCAGCACAATCGTGCGGCGGGTGTCTCCGCCGCCGCGGATGCTCGGGATGCCGTCGACGGGTACCACGGGGTCGATGTGGAAGGCTGGGTCGTTCGTCACGAGCACAATCTCCAGATCCAGCATGGTCGCGGCGGCATAGAGTTCGGCCACGGTAGCTTGTTCGTCGGGAACGTTCCCAAATGTCGTGTACCTAAGGGACGCTCTCGTATGAGGAAAATTCCCCTTTTCGAATCCTACTACCACCACGTACGTACCGGTTGGTCAAGTCCTCGGACGACGTCATGAGGAATGTGCCCAGGGCGTCGATGTTGGCAAGTGCAAATGCCGCCAGGTCTGTTCGCAGCTGCGCCGCGGCTTGCATCCGCCGCGGCGCAATCCCATCGGCAGATCCGACGTTGACCATGCTCATCGCCGCAGGATATGTCTTAAAGCAATCCCACTTCAATGGGAACAGTTCGTACACGAGGCAATGGAGCAGACACGACCCGTCGGGCGGCATCCCCACGCCCTGCAGCCCCGCCGAACGCAGCTCCAATTCCATCTTGCCGCGTTCGCGTTCGACTTCGGGGTCGGCTACCTCGGGCACGGTCACGGCCATCAACCTGATAAAAACGCGTTTTATATCAATCAAACACGGTCAAAGATCCAGCGTTAAACGCTTCGATTGGTCAACTTGTCACCAACACAGGTGATCTATCCGAATGGGAATAATCCCCACATATCCCAATGAAGCGTACCTGGACGAGGACATGGCCGCGTCGGTCCCATCGAGCACAGCGTGCGGCGGCACCGACTGCCGTGATAAACTGGCAGCGTTGCTTTTAATGCTGTTGCTTTCGCTCGAGTTCTGGGCAAACGTTTGACGCTCTTTGAAACTCTGGTTGAATTGCTGCGGGGCGACATGAACGAACCCGCCATTCGTGCTGTTATGGCGCATGGACAAGCACGCATTCCCTGTCTTCAACTGCTGACCCCCAAGGAATCCCGTGCCGGACCACCGGTAGTTGGCCGTCAAGCTCTGTGACGTCATCTGCGGTCGCGGCCTCTCTACGAACGTGCTGTTGCGGCTGGCGCCGATCGCGTCTGCGGACGTTGGCACGTGGGTGACGTTCTGTCCAAACCCGCTCGAATACGCCACGAATGACTTGAGCGACTGCGCTTCGATGGACGTGATGTGGAAAGTGACAAACGCCGGCGCAGACGTGACCATGCTCATGTACGTGTCGAGTTCGGCGCGCCGCGCTTCGAGAAACGCCGCTTCCAAATGCGTCCGGAACAGCGTCCGCTGTCGATGGAGCGGCGGGAACTTGATCCCCTTCATGTGCTTGGGACTGCGCTTCCGAAGCTGCGCGTCCAACAGCCGAAACGCCGAAAACGACCGCCACACACTCCACGTCGCGGTGCACTTGCTGCGCCTGGATTCCGAAAAGTACGTGCATTTGACGCTCACTTCGTACTCGGCCTTCTGCAGGATGCGGACGTCGTCCACGTTGACTTCACACGTGTACGGCCGCGACGCATCGATGTCTTCGGGCCCTACTGTCATGCTGACGAGGTTGTGTTTGGAAGTGGTCGCCGCGGCGGACCTTAGCTAATGCTCTGTTACAGCGACAGGCTCTGTAACGTGCGTCCTACTCGAACTTAATTGAACTCCACCCAAATGTTCCTTATATCCCTTATGTACGATAGAACGACCCTCTGCAGTGCGCATGAAGAATTGACAAAGGCGAGACTCGAGGACGATGAAAAGAACTCGAGGTGATGGCTAGGTCAAAGCCATCATGGAGGGGTCGCGTCGTAAAGGACACGAGCTCCATGCTGGAGTGTACAGCTTACTATGTATGTACCAGCGCAACGATTCATTCCACCGTGGCGCCAACTACATTACTACGTAAGCTTAAGGTAGTACTTACATAGAGCTTCCCGGCTTACGTCACATACAGTACTAGTACTAGTATGCCTTGACAATCAAACAATCAAATCCAGTCTAGGCAATTATAATATTGCCAGCGAAAAACACGAAGTCGGTAACTATGAGGAACACATTGGAAACCGATCCAGCAATCTCACCAGCGTCGCGACCTTTTGGGTCATCTATGTAAGACTAACTGTTATTCGTATAACGTTAACAGTTTGTTGTGAGAAGCTGGCCGTGCCACTGCAAGATCATCAGCAATACACAATGATGCACATCACTGTACACTGCATGTATCTGTATTCAATAAAAATGAGATCGTACTGGAGATTGTACAATGGTGTACCACTGCTACGACCTGGCGCACGCCAGACACATACTTCGTACTATTAATAGTAGGCAACGTATGAGTACTACTAGAAGCTTATTATTAATATATATTAAATAGTATAACTTGCTCTTCATATTATGCACTGCATTGAAAATTTAGGTTGGTGAGATTAGAGATTTTGGATCGCCAATCAGAGGGCGACTTTGGATCGTACACGTTTGACATTTACTGTACGGTACAGTATAATTCACATCAACTACTAACGTTACTAGTATTACTACGTAGTACTGTACTACATACTATTAATAGTGAAAAGCACAATAATATTTATAGCACTTCGAAGTATTAATAGAGAGTTTTCGTAAGAGCTTTTCAGTTAAGATTCAACTTGTGGAAGTGAACTGAAAACCAAGCAATTTCAAACTTTCGGGCAGATCTAAATCTCAACTTTGACGAAAATATCAGTACTTTCGGAAAGGTTTTGAGTTAACTTGTAGATTATCCGGATTACGTTACTGGTCAAAAATGCCCCAACCGCGCATCCTTCGCAATAGAGAGCTGGTGTCCCTTATTGCCTGCGTAATGCAGCAGTGCCATGGTGATTTCGACATGTTTCTCACCGTAATTCAAGGCTTAATGGCATCCAAATTCATGAGAATGAGGCCCGAGAAGCCAATAGTCTCGTACAACAACGACCGTGACATGCACAACGCCACGGCAGCGCACAAGTTCCGGTTCACAATCGACCAACCTCCGCGTGCTCGCTGTGGCTCTACGACTGCCAGCCTTTGTCAGTACACCGAGCCCCGATCAAGTGGAGTCGCTCGAGGCACTTGCAATCCTGTGTCGACGACTGGCTGAGCCCTGTCGACTTTTCACCATTGCAGATGCATTCGGGCGTTCCGTCGAGGCCTTCAGCCGCATCGTCCGCGCGACCGCAACTGCTCTGTACAAGACTTGGAGCGATGTGATCCTCTTTCGCGAAGCCTTGCTCGTAGGCCGAGTTGGTACGTGTTAACACGTATGTCTGTTGTAAGCATGTCAGTAGACACCTATGCTGGTGCGATCGAGGCGAAGAGTGGGCTCAGAGGGTTACGCACCTGTGTTGCGTTCATTGATGGGACGAAGCAATACATCAGCCGTCCGTCGGCGCGAGCCGAAGGTCAAGAGCACGAGAACCTTCAACGTTCGGTGTACAACGGTCACCCCCGTCGCCATTGTCTGAACTGGCAAGGCATCACCGTTCCTGACGGCATCATTATCAGCATGTACGGGCCGGTAGAGGGGCGGCGCCACGATTCCACCATGCTCTCCATGAGCCGTATACTGGACAGGATGAAGGAAGACGGGGTTCTGTCGCGCTACTGTTTGTATGGCTACCCAGCATATGGATGCCACCAGTGCCTATCCTGCCCATTTCCCTGCGCTATTCCAGGATCATTCGAGGCTATTTTCAACTCGTCCATGAGCTCCGTCCGGGAAACGGTGGAGTGGAGCTTTCACCTGGTGAAAGGGTTGTGGTGTTTCGTAAGCTACGACAGAAAGATGAAAGTTCGCAATGCACCAGTAGGCATCCTGTGGCATGTGGCCACACTCCTGACTAACTGCCACACCTGTCTCAAAGCTGATGGGAATCAAATCTCAATGTACTTCGATGTAGCACCTCCTAGGATTGAATGAATACTTGATCTAATTTGTGTGATGTAATCTAGTTTAAAAATATTCCTAATTAGAATTGCCTAGTTTAGTAATTTGACGGTTACAAGTGCAAGTTAATTTCAAAAGGAAATCCTTGCACTAACATGAAATTCAATATTATTACAATAAAAATATGACGTTCAAAGCGATTTCAACGTCAAAACAACATTGGGTGGAAAATATACATATTCACTCGTCAAAACTCCTATACACTAGTATGGCCTAATTGTTGGTCTACATCACTATTTTGAATTTGAATTAGGTTGAAATTATTCCTAATCGGACTTAAATACAATTTTTTAGCAATTGCTCCAACTAAATCTACCAAGACACGTTGTTGCGCAGCAAGCTGCTCAGCATGGCGATTAGCTTGTTCACGATCATATTGTAAACGCTGCGCCTCACGCCGCTCCTTGTCCTCAATGCCTTCACGAATGATGCCCATAAGGCTCGCTAT